CACAGATAAAAGGAAACCCAGCGGCTACACACATTCAGAGGAGGAGAGGCCACAGTGGCCCGTAAGCACCCGGAGACTTTCCGCCTCAATCGTCCTTGCAGAAATGCAAATCTCAGAAGTGATTTTCTAGCTCACACCCAACCAATTTGCAAACATTTGAAAGTCAAATAATTCCAAGTGTTGGAGAGAGTGTGTGGAGTGTGTGGGAAATGGAATCCCTCCTCCTCTAAGGGGACCTGGCAGAGCTCAGGGAAATTCTGGAGTTTTGCTGCCCAGGGCAGGCTTAGGGCAACCCCAGCCCTGTTTGTGTAGGTGCAGAGCTGGGGTAGGCCTGCGGGGAGGTGGGAAGCAGAGGGTGGGCCCCATGCAGCACTGAGGAGTCAAGGCTTCGGTGCCTGCACTGCTGAGGGGATGGGTCTGCACAGACACGCTGTTCAGGGACAAACACATGTCACAGCATGAAGCCAGCAGCACGGGAGCCAACCAGACACACGCAGACACACCATTACATACAACATGCAGCACCAACACACAGGGCGTGTGCACACACAGCATATACACAGAGCACACGTGCAACATATACACATCACATGCACACACACTACATATACACACACCATTAGACACACAACACAACACACCCACACCCAGGACATGGGCATACACAACATATACACAGAAGACATGCAGACACACCATTAGACACACAACATGCAGCACCCACACATAGGGCGTGTGCACACACAGCACATACGCAGAACACACATGCAACATATACACATCACATGCACACACACTACATATGCACACACCATTAGACATACAACATGCAACACCCACACACAGGGAGTATGCACATACAGCACATATGCAGAACACACGTGCAACATATACACATAACATACACCCACACTACATATGCACACACCATTATACACACAACACAACACACCCAGGACATGTACACACACAACATATACACAGAACACACGTGCAACATATACACATCACATGCACACACACTACATATGCACACGCCATTAGACACACCACATGCAACATCTATACCCAGAACGTTGTGCACACAGTGCATATACACAGAACACATGCACAACATATATACCTCACATGCATATGCACTACATATGCACACACCATTAGACACACACCACACCCACACCCAGGACATGTGCACACACAACATATACATGGAAGACATGCAGACACACCATTAGACACACAACATGCAGCATCGATACCCAGAACATTGTACCCACAGCACATACACAGAACGCATATGCAACATACACACACAACATATATATAGACACAGCCTATATGCACACAGTACATATATGCACACCATTATACACACAAACACACACCTATACACAGAATGTGTGCACACACAGCACTTACACAGAACACACATGCAACATATACACACAACATATATATACACAGCCCATATGCACCCAGTACATATACACACACCATTATGTACACAACACACAATACCCATGCAGAACACATATGCAACATATACACACAATATATGTATGCACACAAATGTACAATGTGATGTATATATAACATATACAAGCACAGCACTATACACACAAATAGGCCACACATATACGCAGAACATATATGCAACATATACATGCAACACATCTACACACAGCACATACACACATAGCACATGTATGCACAGTGCATATACACACAGCACATACACAAGGAGCATATGTGTGAGACGTATACATACAACATACACATAGGTGCACACACCACACCATGCCCTCCAACACCAGCAGTCACCCCTTGTTCTTTCTGGAGTTGTGGCCCCCAGGACAGGCGCGCTCATGTCCTAGAGCAGGGGAGAGGAGTGTGAGGAGAAAAGCATAAACATGCAATCGAGGAAGGTGCTGTGAACCCGACATGAGAAAGGGAGGAGGGGGAGGGGAGGGGGGAGGGGAAGGGGAGGCAAGTGCCCGAGCCTTGGCCCAGCCTGCCAGCCCCACTGTGAGTGCCAGGGGTGCAGTGTGCACGATGCCTGTCTGCGCTGCCCCTTCCCCAGCTGGCCAGCGGCCTCTGTCATCACATTTGTCCCTTCCTCCGGCCAGGACTGCTCAGGCAGGGAGTGAGTGAGGAAGGACAGGCTGGAGGAGAGAGCTGTGCGGCCACAGGGGGTCCTGGCTGGAGGGCACAGGGCTGCCTCTTCTTTCGCTCCCAGAGCCTGAGCTGGACAGGCGTGGCCTTCTGGGTGGTCCACGAGGGCCCTGTTGGCACCACCTGGGGGGGCTCAATGTCCTCCACTGAGTGTGGTCTTCCAAGTGGCTGTCAGCGAAGGGAGGGCAGCCCCCCAGCCCTGCTCCTGAAGCCATGAAAATGGCACCATTCCCAGCCCCAGGCTGCAGGATCCGGGGGCCTGAGCACCGCTGGCTGTGGTGGGCTTGTCTCTGGGGGCACAGAGCTCAGCAGCAGGTGCAGTGCCAAAAGCGCCGGCTGGTCCCAGCTGCGGCTCAGCAGGCTCAGCCCAGGACACAGACCGTGAGAAGGGCCTCCTGCAGCCTCCAGCCCCTGCCCCTGAGGGCCTGAGGTCCCAGCTCCCGACTGCCACAGTCTCACTGTGGCTGGCCTGGGGTGTGGGGACCACACAGCACCCCCACTCCCAGATGGTGCAGGTATAAGGCAGGCTCCCACCTACCCTCCCGTGAACCAGGGGCGGCGGGGCTGTGAAGGAGGCCAGGTGGCGTGACCTAGTGCCCGCTTTTGTGGGCCATAAGCTTCTACCTTCATTCCACCTGCCCGACCCCTTTGAGGGCCTCTGGCAGCTTCCTGGGCAGTAGGACTTTTCAGGTTCCCTCTGTGTGTGCTGAGTGAGGAGGCGGAGTCAGAGCCCAAGTCACCACCCGAGGCCCAGCGCTGGGCCGAGTCCAAGCCGAGCCTGGATCCAAGGCTGGCTTCCCCCACGCGCAGTTCGCAGCCACTGTTCTCAGTCGCCTGGCACAGGCAGAGGAAATGGGTGAGGAGACTCGAGGGCTCCAGGAGCAAGGTCACCTGACAGGCATTGGGGCGGTGTCACTGACGTGCAGAGGAGGTAGGGAGCCCCCTGCCAGACTCCAGGCCAGGCTGCCAGGCGGGAAGGGGCCTGGCTGGGACTCCAGGACTGCACCTGCCTCCCTCCCCTTCCTCCAAGTCACCGCTGCTCGTCCTGCATATCCCAGCTCCGTGGTGGACACTGCCCTGGGGAGCCTCTGCGGGTCGCCCCCTGAGGGGAGTTAAAGTGTAATCTTTTCAGGAGGAAAATCATGACTTTGAGACAAACACAAAATAACGACATCAACAATTCCACTTAGTTCATTCATTTATGAGGCACCAATCAGATGCAAAAACCTGGATTAAAGGACAATCCAGAGTCCAGACCAGCCCTAGCTGCACAGGGGCCCAGGGCGCAGAGGACTCTGCTGCAGATGAGACCGGGGTGGGGGGGGGGAGGATCCCTGCCTTCCGCTCCTCACTCTGGGCGGGACGGGCAGCACCTGCTCCCTGCAGCTTCCTTGGCCTCTCCCAGAAGGGGTCCTCCGCGTGGCGCGCCGCGTTCCCCCAGACACAGGGCTCTAGGACAGCCCAGCGTCTACGAGAGGCATGGAGCTCGTAATTCCGGTGAGCCAGGAGGGCCTGTCTGCCGGGCAGCATCGAGGGAAGGACAGCCAGTGAGTGTTGCCTGTTTCAATGCTGGATTTTGCCTGATGGCGTCGAATGCTGCCTCTGCCTCTCCCCCGCACACCTGCCACCTCGGCCGCTACCCTGGGGAACCTTTGGTCATGGTCTCCTTCCTCAGCAGACAGTAAGACCAGAAGTGTGAGGACCTGTGTTCCTTACCGTCTCGCCCTCACTCAGGCACTCCTCGGGCAGTGCTCCCCTCGGGCCGGGGTCAGAGGCACTAGGGTTGCCCACACTGTGCTGAAGGAGAAACTCCAGCTTCTCCATCACCACCGTCCTCACGGGCTGGGGAGGGCAGGGTGGGATCTGAGCCCACAGGCCGGCCTCCCAGTTGGGGCTCCTACCTCCCCACCCCAGTGCCTCCTGCAAGGTGAAAGAGGGGCCAAGTGAAGGGCGGGCCCTTGAAAGGGCGGTGAAGAGCTTCCTCCCTGGTAGGGTGAAGACCTCCTAGGACGGCCTATACCGCACATTCCCCGCTGCACTCCGGGGAGCCGGAGGCAGACCCTACCCCACACAGAGAGTCAGGGGGGCACTGTTGGGTCCGGGGTTCTGGGCACCGGTCAGGAGGAGCCGGCAGATCTCGCTGAGCAGCTGCAGAGGCGAGAAAGGTGCTGCGCAGAGCTGAGCACTGCTCAGAACACAGCCAGGCCCCCCGGACCCTGCGGGTAGCTGGCGGGCAGGGGACAGCGCCTGCAAAACACTGATTTGGGGTCAAGGTGGAGGGTTCTTGTAAACTGTCTCAGCAAGTTTCTTGCTAAAACTGGGCTTGGCAGGCCAAAGAGAGTGTCCAAGGCCAAACCAAGGTCAAGGCTTCGTCAGAGGAGGGCTCTGAGTAGCCGCCAAGGTCAAGGAGGGAGCCCTTGTAAGGGGGTGGGGCTCCCTTCCTGTCCATGGGCCTGGGGCACCCACAGAAACCAGGCTCAGGGTCTCCCTCATGTGTCCTCCCCACCTGCTGAGACCTGGAGCGGCTGGGCTGGCTGCGGTGACCTTCCCTGCTGCCCCCACGGGCAACCCTCACCACCAGCCCAGGTGTGTGGCCCCCGGGGCACTGGGAAGAGTTTCACGTCCCTCCCCAAGAGCCTGGACATCATATGCCCCTCCTCACTCCAGGGGCCCAGCCAAGCTGCTGGGCGTAAGCACTGCCTGGAATCAGGAGGGCCAGCGATGCCTCACTGAATTCCCAGGCTATGAGGCCGGCCACCACCACGGCCGCCAGCGAGTGCTGCTGGTCGTTAAGGGCCTGGACGTTCTCCCACACTCATGTTTTCCAGACATTCTCCATGCTTCTGCTTCCTGGACGTGGCCACAGCATCCCCAAGGCACACGTTGGCACTTAGGATGTGTCCTGCGTGGGGCAGGACAGATGGCATGAACTCTTGCAGCTCATCAGTGGGCAGGCGGCCCCAGCTCCTTTCCAAGGCTGGGTGGGGATCGTGTAGAGGTTAGGGGGACCCTCATAGGGAGACCAGCACTCAGGGTCCCCTCCCCCTGCAGACGCCAAGTCGGCCTTTCAGTCCCCCTTGGCTGATTCCGCGGAACAGCCTCTGCCCCCGCTGGCCGGGGGCTTGGGGCAGAAAGTCTCACTCCTTATCCCAGGAACAGAGGGAGAAACATTGAGAATGAAAGTGACTGTGTAATCCTTGTGGAAAGAATGATTTGGGTTGCATGTAATCCCCGGCAGGAAAGCTGGAGTCATTTCAGACTCTGGCTGTGTAGAAGCTGCGCTGGGGAGGGGCCAGCTGGACCGAGCCGCGCGTGCAGGAATCCCCCCGGACCCTGCTCGAGAAACTGAGCTACAAAGTTGTTCCATAGTAGCCGAGCTGCCTTTCTTTCCATCGGCACACGTGGCTTCTGGAAAGGGGTCTCTCGGGCCCCTGGGAGTTTTTCCATAGAGTTGAGCTGCCTTTCTTTTCATCTGCACACGTGGCTTCTGGAAGGGGGGTCTCTCGGGCCCCTGGGGACAGCTCAGTCGCAGCCGCTTGGCTCCTAGCGTGCATCAGACCCCAGGAAGGAGGCTGGGCTCCGGTGACCCTGTGGCCCGACACCGGCCCCCCTGACAGTGAGCAGGGGCCACCCAGGAAGGACCGCTTTTGGAGGGAGGGACGTACCTTTTCAGATCCTTGGCGGGGAAGCCAGACAGGGTGTCCCAGGCTCCCCAGGGTCAGAACCAATATCCCCCCTGAGACCTGATGCCCCAACACTTCAACGTTCTGCTCCAAGCACTGCTCCCCGGGGAAATCTGGGTTTACTCAAAGCAAAGCATGCAGCTCACTTCTCTTCCCACCACTCTGCTGCCTGGCTGGCCCAGGGGTGCTGCTTTCCACTCGAGAAGCCCAAGCTCCTGACAGGTAGGCCCTGGACTTGAGGTCCTCCCAACCCCGTGCCCGCCTCCACCCTCTCAGCAAGTCACCATGCTGAGGACGAAGCCTGGAGTCACTGTCCCGAGGATGAAGCGCTGGATTCTGCTGCTCCGGAAGATACCTGGGTCCTGGCTTCCCTGAGCGCCTCCTGCACCCGCCTGGGTTACAGACGCAGCTGCTCTGTGCACCCCCTCCCAACAGCTCCCCTCCCAGGATCTCCAGGCCTGGGGCAGACTCCTGGGTGGGGACACTCGGTCGGGTCTGAACACTGACTGCTTTGTCGTTCTGTGGGTGACTACTCTGGAAGTGTGGGGGACAAAGGGGGGCCCCGCCCACCCTGGTCAACAAACCCAGTGGGGCAGGACGTCATGCTTCCTTCTCTAGGGATCCTCTCCCCTCCAGGCTTGTCCAGGAAAGTCTGCTTCTGCAGGACTGGATCAGACAGAGGACTTCCTGTGTTCAGCATCCCTGGAGGGTCACCCCGAGTCTTCCCTGAGGATCTCTGACACTTAATTTGCACAGCAGGGAGCGGCCATCCTGAGGCCCCTTGGGGTCAGGGACTGACTGGGACATGAGCTGATGGTTGTTTCTCCTCGCTCAGTGTTGGTGTGTGCGTGGTTGCACACCTATACATGTGTGCAAACGTGTGTACTCACATGCGAGTGTACACATCCACGTGTGTGTGCACGCACGTGTGTGTCTACCCACAGCCTGCTGTGCAATATGGAGGACCCCCACACTGCAGGTGGCTGATCCGGGATAGGACCGGGACTCAGGGTCGGGAGCCTGCCCGACACCCCACAGCCCCAAGGGCCAGTGTCGCAGCCGTGGGCTCAGTCGCCCAGGATTCGTCTGCAGAGGAGTCGCCAGCTTCTCTCTAACTGGCCAAGGGGTGCACAGCAGCTCACTGTGTGGACTGCTTTCTTTTGTGTTCTTCCTACATGTGGCCTTTGCTATGGCTTTGATTTTAAATTTGTATTTGCATTCAGAAGGGGTTTCTATCCAGAAAGGCTTCCTGCCGCTTGTTCACCAGCGTTCAGAAAAGTCAGCCAGTTTTCTAGCATCCTGCAAAAGCGGCAGCCGCTTAGTGTGTCTGCAGCGAGCCCCGCTTCGAACTCTGGCTTAGCTAAGGACTGCGGCACCGTCCATCCCCCATCCATGTGCAGCCCAGCCTCTCTCACAGACGCCTCAGTGTCCCCAGCCGAATGGCACCTCCCTGTGTTCCACATCCAGGCGCAGGGGCCAGAGCGCTCAGAGCTTTGTGTGCAAATGGGAGGAATTTTGCTAAAGCTGGCAAACCAGACAGCATGTCAGAAACGCCTATGGCGGAAATGTGAGCAGCCTGAACTGCAGAGCAGAGCTGGCACCAGACGCCGCGTGAGGTCTTCCTCTCCAAGGGGACCCCGAGTGGATGGGTAGCATGAGTGTCCATCCCAAGGCTAGTGAGCCCCTGCCCGGCTCTGTGCAGTCAGGCCTCGGGGCCCCCCTGGGCTCTCATATAGCACCCCTGACCCATAGGAAGTGCTTGGAAGCAAGGGGTCTTTTGAGCAGACGGCCTGTTGCATTCAGCACGTGCATTAAACGTCATAAACATTTTCCATCTCTGTTCCCCTGTGGGCAAGGGTTCTTCAGAGAAGCAGAACCGACAGGATGAGCGCTAGAATCTGTGTGTGTGTGTGTGTGTGTGTGTGTGTGTGTGTGTGTGTGTGTGTCGGAGGGGAGTATTTTAAGGAACCGGCTCCAGTGATTGTGGGGGCTCTGGCAGCCTTGACAGGCTGGATCTGGGAAGAGTGGATAGCGCGGTTTTGGGTCTGAAGGCAGGACCCCCTCCTCGGGAACCCGCCTCTTCTTCTGAAGGCCTCCCTTGAATGGATGAGGCCCCTCACACTGTGAAGGGCCCACCTGCATGACCTGCAGATGTCGGGCTGCCCACATCTAAAACACCTTCACCTGGTGAAGTTGGGTGAAGGTGGCCCAGCCACCGTGACGTGCACACTTACCCACTCCCCACACCTACACACATGACAAAGCCATGGGCGGCTCGCAGCCCCCGCCCCTCTAGGCCCGGAAACACGCCCCCCCAACTGCCTCCGGCGTGGCCCAGGCTCCTCCCTCCACCACAGACGCAGCCAATGCCTCAGACCTTCCTCCAGCCTCACCTTTGCTTTTCTGATTCCTGTATCTGGGGATGGGCTGTATGGGAACCATCTCCCAGGTTCCCAGAGATAAGAGATGTGCCCCCGCCTGGCTGCACTACCCCTCACTCTGCTCGTGGTCTCCACCAGGCTCCACTTCCTGCCCTAGCTGCCTCCCATGTGGCCTGGCATCTGCTGCCCCTTCACCACTGTGGAGGGTCGGCCTCCTCCGGGACCGGCTCCGGGCCAGCCATGTCCTGCTCACTGGGCTCCAGCCTGGGATGCTCACGGGGCAGCATGTCCCCTCACCTCCTCTTGGGGCAGGCGGCGCCTCTTGCTGCATTTGGCTGGCCCTGAAGATGGCTGGTGAGAAAGAGGGGTGTGTGCTCTACAGACACAGAACGCCACGTCAGGATAATGCACCTCCTCCTGTGTATCTCTCCTCCCCTGGGCGGCCCCCAACATCGAGTCACCCCAAAGCCTTAGAGGCATCTCAGGGCTGCCGGGCGCAGCCTGCATGGTTCTTTCCTCCCTCAGTATGTAGAGGGTATTCACTCCACCCCAAGCCCTGCCCCTGCCTTCCCCGAGTTGACGCTGGCTCCTGCCCCTGCACTATAAATTCCCGGTAACAGCCAAGCTTGGGCTCCTGTTGGAATCTCCGGGACCCATCAGGGCCTGGCTGCTCAGAGAGCTCATGTCCCACTGTGGACCCGCCTCCAGGGCTCCCGAGGCAGAAAAAAGGAAGCAAGAGCGTCTCTGGCTGCCCACCCCCCATCTCGAGCTGTGTCTGTATGTGAAATGTCCCAGTCTAACTGGGGGAAAGGGGAGAAAGCTGTGGACGCCTCCCTCTGTCCTCCCCAGGGTGCCCGGTGGCAGCAGGGCCAGACCTCCGCAGGGTGGGTGAGGCCTCACAGCCTGCAGCCCTTCCCAGGAAGGCCGTGCCCTGTGTCCAGCCCCTGGCTGGCTCCCCGAGCTCCCTCTAATTGGGCCTGACGATTTCACACTCTGGAGTCGGACGGTGCTTGTTTTGGCTGGCCGGGCTGCGCGCCCATCCTCGCTGGCCCGGGTTGCATAACTGTGAGGTATCCTCTTACGCTGGCCGCCGCCTCTCAGTGAGGCCTGAAGCCACCACGGCGGGTGGAGCGGGCTCCGTACTCCCTCTCCCGGAGGGAGAGCCCAGTCCTGCCAGGCTTGGGGTGGGGGCTATCATGTCCCATGACCCGAGGGCAGGCTGGCAAAGGTGCATGGAGCCTCCAGCCTGTGGGAGCCAGGAGTGGCCACCTCTGACCAGAGTTGGCCCATGAGGGCGGTGGCAGGCGGGCCAGCTCTGCCCTCATCTCCCCCAGGCAGTGTCACTGCAGCCCCTGCCAGAGACAATGGTGGGGAGGGTGGGAATGGGTCTAGGAGTCGCCTGCTGGGCATCCATGCGGCTGGCTGCCCCCCCACCAAGGCACCCTGAGGAGCGGTGCCCCCCCGCTCCCTGGCTCCTGTGGGCCCTGGACGCCATCCAGCTAGCCTGAGTAGGATGACGCCCTGGGGCCCTGGGTTCCAGCACAGCCACTCTCTCCTTCCACTGCTGCTGCTGCCACCCAAAGGTGGGGTGAGAGAGAAAGAGATTTGGGAGAATGATGGGCGTAATGACAACGTGGTGGCGAGCTGGAGCTCGGCCCCGTCCCCTGTGGGCGTGATAACCGGGATGTCTTACATTTCCCTGCGCTGAGCCAGGGCCGCTTGCGACAATGTCCACATTGTTTCCCGAGCCGGGCGTTGTCACCAGAGGACAGTGCCCCGGGCACCCAGGCCACGGACGCCCAGCAGGAAGCCGAAAGTGTGGCTCAATGTGAAAGTAAATGTGGAGGAGGGAAGCTTGCTGCTCCCGGCTTTGCACCGTGGCCCGGTGACAGTTTTGCCAAGAGCAGGGACACAGCCTTGAGCTGGCGGGGGTTGCCTGTGGGATGCAGATTTTCAATCCTAGTGAAACCATGAGGCTGGAGCGGCTCCGGCCGCCTCGCTTTGGCCTGGGTGAAGTGCTGGCTCTTGCTCAGTCCTGCCCAAGGAGGGCTCCTCTCAGGACAAGAGCAGGCGTGATGGCCAGGTCCTGCTCTGCGGGAATGAGAGGGTGGGTCTTCCCTGTACCCATCCGACACCAAGGCCCAGGGAGGGGGCCCCACACCACCATACCAGATCCCCTTAGTGAGCCGGGCATTCCCTCGTCCCAGCAGCCCTGGTGCCCCTCACCCTTCCTGGGGAAGCCCCACCTCACAGAAATTCTCTAAAGACTCGCCCCGGTGACAAATGCTAAGTGAGCCAAACTCAGCACATCTGTCCCACCATGGCCCTGCCTCCCTCCGACCCTGCGTGGGGCTCCAGCCCACCATGGCCCTCCCTCCCTCTGCCCCTGTGTGGGGCTCCAGCCCACCGTGGCCCTCCCTCCCTCTGCCCCTGCATGGGGCTCCAACCCACCATAGCCCTCCCTCCCTCCACCCCTGAGTGGGGCTCCAGCCCACCATGGCCCTCCCTCCCTCCACCCCTGTGTTGGGCTCTGGGTGTGGAGGGAGCCTTGGGAGCAGGGAGTCCATCTCAGAGTCTTCACCATGTGCGCCCTGAACCCTGACCTCGGCCCATCGCAGTTTCAGACATCCTTGCTTATCCCAGAATAGGGCCCACTGACTGCCTGGGACCTGGCACACACCTGTCCAGGGGCCAGGCCTGGAGGAAGACCCACTGCTCCCGGAGCACCTACCACGCAAATGAATGACCTGAGGTCTGGCCTGGTTGGTGACTCCAGGCCCCTCCCAGCCTTGGCCAGACCCTCTGGCTTCTGACTCATGCCTGAACTGCAGGACCTTCCTGCCTCTGGGGACCACAGGCATGGACTTCACCTTCCGGGAGGACTGGGGTCTTCGAAGTCCTCGTGGCATTGCCGGGAGCCTCGGCTTTCGGGGTGCTGACAGGCTCCTGGCCTGGAAGATGGGAAGGGAGCAGCACAGCCCCTCTGTGGCACAGGGGCACCCCACCCCACCCCACGCGAGAATCACCATCCATTGGAGCCTGAGGAGCTAGGGTCACACTCACGTGCCTGCGTCCCAGGGGCTGGAGGCCAGCATACTGGGGAGCCACAGCAACCTCTTCTTCATAGGGCCTGTGGCAGATCAGGAGTCAGACTTCTTCCTCCCGGGCGCTGGTCTCTTCTCCCTGCAGGCGCCTGCCCAGCCCTCAGGACCACAAATCCCCCATGCAGGTGGCCCGTCTTGGGACAGCATCTCCCACATCTTCCACAAGGAAGGGAGCGGCCTCCACGTTGGGACAGAGGGGGCATGGGAGAGCCGGGATGAAGCCACCCTGTGGGGAGGGTCCTGGCTTTGTGAGCCAGTCCCTGGGGTCCTCTCCCTGGTGGCAGGGGCTCTACCAGCAGCCGCACCGCTCTCCTTATCTGCGCCGGATTACCGGGAATGCGCTTGAACTCCTGAGACTCCATGAATCCCCTCATCTGGAAGCCGGCAAACCACACAGTATTTAAACTGTCGACAGTCACACCTCATTTGTTTACAAGCTTCCTGCTCTGGCTCAGGGGGACTCACATCCCTGCCTCCAGTTTCCTGGGGACCCTTGGGGAGGCCCAGTCCTGCCCTTGCCATCCCAGGGGCAGAAGAGCCCGTCCCACACTCGGGAAGGAAGACGGGGTCGGGGGATGTGGATCCAGGGCCCAAAGCCTCCCCAGACCACTCGAGGGGAGCGAGGCAAAGGGGACCGAGAGTTCCGTCCCCGCTGTGGGCCACCCCACTCCGGCCTCCAGAGTCAGCAGTGACCCTTGGGTCAACTCTGGCTTCCCAAGCTGGGGTCTGGGTCCCCGCAGAAGGAGAGGGTGAGTGCAGCGGTCGGGCCGTTTATCCAAGTTCAGCTCTGTGCCTGGACATGCGCGGAGGGGCTGGGTCCCGGGGATGGGATCAGGGTGATAGAGGCTCTCTGTGAGCCCCCGAAAGCCTGGGAATGGAAGGGCCCTATGTGCTCAACCCCTGCTGGCTGGGTGGAGGGGGCTAGGGCTTTGGAGACCCTCAGTGTGGAAATTGTGGACACCAGGTGCAGTGGGTGTGAGCACAAGGCTGGGGGCTCCTTCCCAGGGTGCTGCCTATCAGCTGAGGTCCACGCCAAGGACCACCAGGCGGCTGCTCCAGGCAGAGAGCAGTGGCTGTGGCAGAGGCCGGAGTTTTGCCAAGCTTTGCCAAGCTTTGCCTCACTTGCGAGGGCCAGTACCTGCCTGGGAGGAGTATGTGTACCAAGCTCCCTGTAGGTGGGACGGGTGACCCCCGCCACCTGGGAAGGCTGAGCACAGCTGAGCAGAGTGGCATCCCAACACTCCCCGTGGTGCCTCTGGAGCAAAGGGCAGAGCCACCTGTGAGGGCCCCATTCCTCGGCAGACTTTTGAAGGTTTGAAGGTTTGAGGGTTGGTCTCTTGCTATGTGGATTCTTGGCTGCACTCGGCCCCTCCACTAGGCCCA